TATGTGGCTGCTGCTGGGTGGGAGTATGTGTACAAGGGTGTAGGGGGTAGCCATCAAGGTGGGTAGCTGAACCACTCAGGTGACTTTGAGGATACAAATAAACCTCAAAGTGGCCTCAACAACTCTCTAAATAAAAGAATGCAAATGACCAGCTGTCTGCAAGAATTCCCCACCATCCAGTCAGAGCTGAAGAAGCTTCTTGGATGAGAAGTGAAACATCTTCAAAGAAAAACAAAGTCTAGTTGCCTGTTGAAAAAGCACAAGGGCTGTTAACCTCTTAGCCATAATTGCTAAGTTCCATCATCTTTACTAATCATTTCTATATTGTAGGTATTGCAGTGTCTTTCCAGGACTGAGCATATAAAAGTCATGCTCCTGATACATGTAAAAGTAAAATATTTTTCCAGTCCTTTATCCATAAACCCTAACAGAAAAAGTTTCTGGTCTGAATTGTATTTTAATTTTTAAGATTTAAAAGTCTTGAGCAGTGACCAACAGTTTCAAGTTTATGCTTCATTCCCCATATTTCTAAAGATCCAGGTTCAACAAGAAATTACTTTTTGCATGAATGTGCATTGTTTCCATGTCTTGTGTTCATCTGATTCCATTTCTGGAACTTGAGACCATAGGTTGATCAGAGATACTCTATATAAAAGCATTTGTGTCCAAACAGCTCACTAATGCTTTGGCTAAGCTCCATCCCCAGTGACAATTTACAGGAATCAGATGTCATGTAACACTTGCTGGGCATCCCAGGATCAAGGGCTTAATAGAAGAAGTGACAATGATATGGTTCTAGCTGACATGACACCTGAAAGAGCAGTGGTGGACACTGTGCAGGACACACTGTGCTATGACACTTTCCCCAATTCATGTCAGCATCACCAATAATATTTTCAAATATTTATGCCACATTAGTGTTCTGGATGCATACAGAAATTTTGCTTTTCTCTAGGCTGTTGGATTGGATCATCTGGTTCAAGAGTTGTCAAGTTCTGAATTGAGATACATCTCTCAACCTTTGAAGTGATTTTCCCAGGATTATATTTCTGTAGTGCTGCTCATGAAGGCAGCGTTTTCAATGCTTATTATTTATTTAGCGTATGGCATACAATCTCAGGGAAATCTATACATGCTAGACCAGGGCTTTTAAACCAGTGGTACGGGTACAACCTGTGGTACATTGGCACCTGGCAGGTGGTACGTGACCATCCTAGAAAAGTAGCAGGGGAGGGGAATGAGCTGAACCGGTGGCAGCACTGCACAAGCCTGAGCGAGAGATGGCTGGAGCTGCAGGGCTGTCAGGGCTCAGTGGAAGTGCCACTTTCCAGCTGATCGGATCAGCGACAGGCTCCAGCTGGAGCTCGGCACTAATCCTGGTGCTTCTGCTGAGCCCAGAAGAAGCACTTATCAGCTGGAATGTTGCAGCATCTCCAGGGTCTTGTGATTTACATTCAGATGCTTGGCCACTGATTCATATTTATGACGGTCACAGTGTCCCAGGGTCATGTGAAGTGACCAAAACCTGCTGCAAACACCCAGCAGACGGGGGGAATAAAAACCAAACACCCCCCACTCCACCCCCACTGCCAATCCTCAACAGAAATGCTCACAACAATGAAAACCTCGGACAGGAGGAAGAGCACAGCTGGGCAGGCAGGCAGGCAGGCAGGTGTCTTGCTCGGCTGTGGCTTAGGGGGCATTTTTTTCAGTGCCACTGTAACTTCAAACAGTCACTAAGCAAACTGTTGTAAGTCGAGGAGTACCTGTACTTCATCACTTTTTTCCTTTTTTTTTTTTTTTTGTCATCAAGTTTTTGACACCTTGCTGGTGGTATTCAGATGTTGCCATATCCTAAAAGTGGTACAATGGGTGAAAAGGTTGAAAAGCCCTGTGCTAGACACACAGTGCACTCCTGACAGCCTAGATTGCTAGTTCATTCTGTTTGGTGCTTGCGCATCTACCTTTGGTAGAGCAGAGGAGGAGAACTAGCTTTACCCCAATTAACAGTTGGCGGCCGTGACCAGGGGAGCTTTTTATCAGGTTCGCCTGATTCACCAGTTGCGGCCGTTTCTGGACCGGGACGCCTTACGCACGGTCACTCATGCCCTTGTCACTTCCCGCCTGGACTACTGCAATGCTCTCTACATGGGGCTCCCCTTGAGGAGCACCCGGAGGCTCCAGCTAGTTCAAAATGCGGCCGCGC